ATATGTTTATATTTATATTTATCAATCGGAGTACGTTAGTATGGTCAGGTGAGTAAGCACTAGAGAAGTCGCACTGTACTTTGGCTTTTAAGGCGTGGTGGTACAACCACACATGATTTTTTAGGCGTACAGCCAAAAATCTAGTCGCAAATGCGACCAGTTGGTCGTTAACTTTGAGCCCTGTGTCTGGGACAGTCATTGATAAATCTGTTTTTATTCACAGGAACACCATCTCCAGAGAGCCATCTCGGCACAGCAGGTTTATGGGGACACTCAACAACTTGTAATTCCTACTCCAGAAACAGAGGAATTGAAGGAGAAAGTGGTTGACACCCTTTACCATGATCCATTCAAGCAGCCGAAACAGTACATTCATGTTCAAGGTGGGCTTGCTAAGCAATACAGTATATCAAACACAAAAGACTGTGTGTGATCACATGTCCAAACACTGAGAAGAGAGTTGAAAATTTGACGGGTAGCAGATTATGTTTGACAAACTTTGAGGTGTTTGGAAATGTGGGCAAGCACAGTCTTGAGTGTTTGATATACCTTGTCAATTGAAACTAAAACTAAGTAGAAAATGGAGAAATAAATAAAAATCTCTGCTAACTATGATCAGATATCCAAAAACTGTCATGGTCATGATTTCCTTCATACTTGAAGAAGACAGGGATCACATTTAATGTGCATGTGAAGGAAGTTCTTTCTTCGTGTACATTCCCCTTAAATTATGCAAGCAGCTGCCAGTTTTACTGGCTCAAGTTCATTATTCACTGTTATTATTTACTTACTGCCTACTACTACCAATCACTTTAGGAAGGTTATCGGTGGTCGTACACCATATACATTACTACAAAACCTAACTCATATTACACAGTGTCCTCACTATGCCAGAGAAATTTGAAAATGCAGCTTTATTTCTCTGGTTAGACCTACTGTCCATGCTAATCCGTCACAAAAATGGAGCTGGTAGAAAACACTCTTTAAGCTGGAGGAACTTGAAAACTACAGCTTCTCATTTTCTTGTGAACGAAAATGTTTTGAAAATGGAGTTTTTCAAAAATCGATGGCGTTGCAATAGTCTTGTGATTTCCCTGACCATGTTTTCCAAAATGACTGGTGATCGTTGCATTTTTAAATTCCTCCAGCTTAGTGTGAATGGAAAACATTTGATGCATTTTCAGAGTGAAACCTCTGTTTTCAAATTTCTCCAGTGTAGTTTGGATGGGGCCTTAGAATCTGCTGCCCTGAAGAAAGGTTGCTTTATTGACTGATTTGTACTAACAGTAGAAATTTGAAACAGAGTGTCCTAGGAAATATTATGAGGTAATTACTGAATGTTCTTATTTTTAAGCTTTCAACTTCGAGGAGGAATTACCTGAGTATGATATGGACTCAGAAGATGAGGAGTGGCTTAAGGCCTTCAATAAAAAGAAGGTAAGGTTGATTCACCATGTTCATTTGTCTTAGTCAAAGTGTACTGGTTGACTACACATTTCTGTGAGTTTACTTGTGTAATTAACCAACTGGTTGTTGGAAAGACACAGGAAGATCTTGGAAGTCTCAAGCTAACAGTATCAACAGTGCATGAGAAGCTCATAGCAATACATGGTCTGCTGTTAGAAACCGCTACAAACTCACAGCTTTTAGTTTTGGAGAATCCCACCAACCTTTTCCTTTTCTCTTCCAAATGTTTTCCTCTAGAAAATCCGCCAGCCCCTCTACACCTGAACAAATTTTTTAAGTAGGGAAAGATGGAAAAAATGGTTTTCATGTTTTCCGTAGAGATTTATTTCTATGCTAACCCAAGGGGTTGTTTACAAGGAGTGTTTCAACTACAGTTTCATGTTCTCTCAAACTTTCATTAGTATTTCCTTGCAAATCTTTATGGAATTAAAAACAAAAGGAAAGATAGTGATTTCTTGCAGAACAGAATTGTTTCTAAAGAATTGTGGCGAAATGTTTAGCCTAATAACATTGTTGTGTATACTCTGCTGCTTTCCACGCTTTTGTTGTTGGGCAAGTTAGACTAATTTTATTTTTCCTATTAGGAGCTCCTGTCACCATTTAAATTTGAACATTTCCTTGACCAGTTGGAGCGAAATTCTGGAAACCAGGTAATTAAAACAACATTGCCATCCCTTTTAACTTCGTCTGGAAGGAATTGTAGTGCAACATAACAATTTTTTGTGATGTGTAATGTTTTCTATGGTAGTTTGTATGGTATGTTTTCTGTTAGGTTTTAGATGTAGATTCAGTTGTCCTTTTTCAAGATAACATTACTTGTAGAGTTATAACATGTACTTCACTGAAATGTCAGGTGATGAGATTAATTTTTCTTGCCTTTAAAGTTGTTTGTAATATACATAAAAGTAGTTAAAGTGAAATAACAGAAGTTACTAAATCACTGGGATGCAAATATACTTGTAGATTATGCCTTCAGAAAACTTTATGTTTTTAAGTGGATTGTTTCTTTCCTTTTATTAGGCGGTGTCTTTGAATGAAGCAAAGTCATTGTTGAAGGAGGGTGGTGATGTTATCAAGCCTCTGTATGAGTATTGGATGAATAAAAGAAAAAAGTTGGTAAGGAAATGTAAAGCTTACTTACATACCTTTTAGTCACAAAACGAAAATTATCTGATACTGTTTCTAGGAAAGTTACACATATAAGATCACAGGAAACAAAAGCTTTTATTGAAAATGTTGTTTGAGTTCAACACCTTGGGATGTAAAAGTATGAAATGTATACTCAGGTTTGCCTGTTGTTCTACTACAGAAGGATCTGGTGGTGTCACTGACTCCTCAGCTTAAAGGAGAAAAGAGGGATGGCTCGTCTGCGAGTGATCCATACGTGGCATTCAGAAGAAGAACAGAAAAGATGCAAACAAGAAAGGTGAACAGCTTATTCTCAATACTGACCAGTATGATATACTGTTTGATTCAAATGAAATACAACTACTGTACATAGCACTGAACCTTTGTGTCAATCTGTGGCCTAAATTATGGCCTTGTTTTTACAGAATCGTAAGAATGACGAGGCTTCATATGAGAAGATGCTCAAACTTCGAAGAGATTTGAATAGAGCTTGTACAATTCTGGATATGGTGAAGAGAAGAGAGCAGTCCAAAAAGGAGCTCCTTCAGCTTACTGTTGAAGTATTTGAGAAAAGGTATTACCGTCAGTTCAACATCAAAATTCTCAGTACTTTTTTTATACTTTTAATTGTCATCATCCTTATGAGAATTTGAACATTCTAGATATGCTGCTGGAGATTATGCAGGCCAAATACTTCAACAGTGTATGGATATGATCAGATATCAGCCCCCTGCCACCAATCTCACTGCACCCACGTCGGCAGGTTATGGTGACAATGTAACGCCAGGCTCTGCCACAGGAGGTGACAGGGAACACGAGTCGTGGAGACGAGGATTGCAGGTGAAGCTTGTTATGTAGTGATATTTTGTATGTGGTGGATTACGCAGAAATGGTCAGAGTGAGTGTCACCTATAATGAACTTGCTTGGTGCTGTAGGGAAGTGTTCTGTTTACTTTGTGTATTTTTCAAAACTGCAGGTATGTGACTTACGGCTGATACACAGGAGGAGTTTTCCTCCAGGAGCATGCTCCAGGGTCAATTTGCGCAACTAGTACACTCTGGGGAGCATAGTGTGGCACACGAGGAAGCGTTTTCAAGTTTGTTCAATTTTCCTCAGGATCCTGCTCCCAAGTATTTAACCTGCTTGATTTTGTGGAGCATTTTGCAGGATGGAAATTCTGCTCCCGAGAATGAATTACTCCCATGAAAACGTTGGTGCACACGGAGGAGCTTTGCTCCTGGAGTGTGCCCCTGGAGCAAAACCCAGGAGCAAAAAACCCTTTGTGTGTATCAGCCTTTAAATGTTGCTGTGAAAATACATTTTGAAAACACTTTATCTTTGTTTCTTTTATCAGGAAAGGCCACGGATAGGAAAGAATGACTTTGTCAATGAGTTAGGGTAAGTGCCTTGCATCAAATTGTGTTTGGTTTATCTTTACCACATTTGGCAATTTCCAGAACAGAGTTAAGGAACTCTGAAATGCAATAATGCTGCCCATAAGAATTACTTAATTATGCCTAGTGCACTTCTTGGGACATAGCCTGCCTACTAAGTTCCTCCATCCATCTCTGTCTAGGCCTTTCTCTCTAGATGACTCTAGGTCAGCTCTAATCTCTTGATGTCTGCTTCCAGATCCTTGTGTCCCTCTTCCTTTTACCTCAGGGGTTCCAGGGCAGGGCTTGCCTAACAAAGAGTGTAACCTACCCATCTTGCTTATAGGAATTTAAAATGTTTGTTTTGTTTTTCATTAGAATCAAAAGACCTAAACTGAGTCACCCCGCTAAGGTTGCTCATGTTCAGCCACCTGGAGATCAGATGCTGTTCAGTGACGATGAGGAACTCATTCGCGTATCGCCTCCTCCAGTAAGTAAACTGAGAATTTTGTAAATGTTAGTGAAAAAAGCGAGGAATTATTTATACAGAGAGTGGCTACACAAGTAGGACATTTTTGAACAGTAATCCCACCTCACTGAATTACATGTACATGTACTACTGTCATTTAACAGTAAATTAATTTGGAACTTTACCATTTACAGGTGGATATTCCTTCAGAACCCGAAGATGACGATGAAGACCCAGATGGCAGATTTGCATTTAAAAGAAAGCTTGGTGTCAAATACATGCCGGTTAGTTGATTACAATTAAGAAGAACCTATTAATAAGAAGCTTTTCTTATAGATATAATTAGATTAATAGTCTTTAGTTTCCTAATTATACCGTTTTTCTAGTCAAGGGTACAAAACAAATTTCTTTGTTCTCCACAGCCTCGATTCGATATGCCTCAGCCACTCGCATGGGTAGATCCATCAGAAGGTGGGTTGGGTGACAAGAGATTTCGTTTCAGCTGTACATCGATATCGTCGCCGCAGAGAGTGATTGGCTTTGCAAGAAGGAGAGTAGGACGAGGGGGAAGGTAAGCAAAACAAAACGATGTGCTTCTTTCTTTGTGACTATGCGGATTTGCTAGAATTTACTCACATGTGTAGTGTGTAAAGTGTATAATTGGAGCCAGTTGCCACTTTTATTTATGCAATCTCTTCTTTTTGACAGAATATATATGGATCGGGCCTACAGTGCTTTATCAGAAGACTTGGATGAGTTAGATATGCGTCTAAACTCATCATCATCTTCGCTCTTGTTACCCAATGGCTTGTTTCCGTACGACCACCTTACAGGGTGGAAAAAACCCTCACTGTAAGTCTTGAGTGAACTGTAATGAATGCAATTTGTTCTTTCTGTTACTATGAAGACAAAATTCAATGGGGGCCACAGGTCAAGGGGAAAAATTTTCAAGGTCAAGAAAAAGACGGAGAATTTTATTTTGAGTCAGAGAAAATTGACATACTTTTTAAGAAAATTCGGGGTCACTGTGATCTCAACGATATTTTTCCGTAATGAAGAAGGAAAATTGGGCGAAACTTATCAGTCTTATTGAATGAGTGGAAAGGATGGCCTTAAGGTTATTTATCCCTAAGTGACTGTCAAGAGTGATCAACTTCTACCTTCTCCATACAATGCCTATAAATTTTAAAGGAGCTCAGTCACGGTTTGCGCATATTGAAAAGTTTAGCCTCAATTTTTCAAATTCGTCGTTTGTAATCCGTGTTAATCTTCTCCATCCTTAGCCATCCTTGTTCCTTTATGGTTTATCATTATGTCTTTGGTGTTTTTCTACCTTATTAAACTGTTATTTCTAGGTTTCCTACCATTTAAAGGTAATTTTGTATGTGGCCAAAATAACTCAAAATACCGTGACTGAGCCCCTTTAAAGAGAAAGGTGATAGGAGTAACGAAAATCATCTATCGGAAGATGTCTTGATTCACCGTGAAATCTGAAATACCGTTGACTAAGATGAAAGGAAACGTATTTTAGTCGCTAGGCAGTATAAATAAACATGTGGTGCATACTTCTTGTCTAACTCCAGCCTGTTTAATTTGTTTTCTCCTTAGGCCGCATTTTAGACCTAAATCGCCTCCCACGCAAGTGTCATTCGCCTCGTATTCATCTCCAGTGTCGACAGAAGCGCCCTCTGCCAGTAAACAGAACGGAGAACCCAGACCTCGACTACATAGGAGCTTTTCCACACAACCAAGATCAAAATTCTCACTCAACCCCACTCCGACTAATGGAGTGGTTGGGCCGAATTTCACTCATAACAACATGAGCCGTAGCTCGCTAACTAATGGACCTTTATCGAATCAAGGTGGTTATACCACGGGCACTCTTCTTAGTAAAAACACCGCCTACTCCACAGCGCCCATGAAGGCGGTTTATGCATTGAACTTTCCAGTCAATTCGAACATTTCAGGGCACGCGTTGTCCAATAGTTTGGTGCGAGGTAGTGCACCGTTCTCACCCACGGCCCTTAACTCATCGCCATCTGCAAGTGCGACGTTGAGGGCAAGCGCTGCTGAAAGCGCTGGCGCGGAACGAATGTAAGTGCAATCACAGGCTTTCTGTCCTATTAGCTCATAGCTTATTGCAGAGGTTTCATAAAGGGCTGGGCACCAGGCAAATTGACCGGCTGTGAGGTCAATTGTACCCACCTAGAGGAACGTTTTTCTCATTAAGAAGTTCAGGTCAAAAGAATTTTACTCGTTAACGAAGCCCCCGGCTTATAGGCTGGCTGGTTTTTGGCAATTTTCCACTGAATGGAGGTTTTGACTGCAGAAATGTGCAGGCATGTGCTCTACCGAGAACGTCGAGAAACCCAGTGTGTGTTCAGGGCCGTTGGAACAAGGGACCAAAAGACAGTTTTTCCGCTATACTATTCAAACGCCAAAGCAGCTTGTGCACTTTACTTGAGTATCGGCTGGCCCGATTCGAGCGAAGCGATTACTCCAGTTGCTGGGATGCGTAAGAGAATAACCAGAGATATGAAAATAGCTTTTATTTTAAGCAGATATACTTCGAAAGGATATAAATGCTAGTTTATGCATATCTTCGTCCGATCCTTTCCTTTTTCCGTTTTACGTTGTTAACCCGGGGAGGGGGGGGGGGGGGGTTTAGTTTCAAATTTGACGATTCTTTAACCACTACAAATGAGTGATGTCCATTTTCTTTTTTTTTTTTGTATTTTTTATTTCCAGGGAAATAGACGTCAATAGAGTAGATGGCCTCCTAAGCACATTAGATGGATTAGGGACCTCAATCAGCAGTTTACCAAACGCAACGTGATAATAAATGCCATTCAAAGAGAATTTAATCTGCCAAGAGACAGTGTTCCGTACAAACAGGATGGTCTCTTCTCTAGTACAGTTGTAAAGCGCTCGAAATAGCGAACGAAACTAATGTTCATGGGAATGGGGATTCATACAGCGGAGTTGCAAGAGGACATAGCGAGATACAGTAGAGGAATAAACGTTTACATCACCCCAATGGATTTCAAGGCACCCAAGGCTGACATCGTCTTCTTTATCATTAATCAATGCAGACGTTACTTTAGGAATATTTTACTTACTCGTCAGTTAACAAATCAACTCGTTATAAACCCTGCCAAAGTTAATACTGTTCGTTCTCTGTGACTGCAGCCATGGTTCAGTTTATATTTACCCTATATTTACATGTTTGGTTACATAACCTTTTCGCTCTTTGAATTGGTAGCTGTTTTGCATGACTTTTTTTTCCGCTATATCATAGTTTTTGTTTCGAACAGGAAACTGCCACTTCTGACAACAAAAGCTGCTAGAATCACTCGGGCGCGTTTGGGCTTCGAGGTCAATTTCAAGTTTTTCCAAACTCGCTAGAGCGTTTACAATAGATATCGTTTTGAATTGTAAGGCGCGTTTCTGTTGCTGAAACTTTCTTTTGAAGAGGTACCGTATAGAAATGAGCGTAGGTTTTTTTTTGTATTTTGGTTAAATCATGTATATTTGCGTTTTTTTCCGAACGCTTTTCGTACAGGTTGTATATCATGGAGTTGTTTTGCTGTTTGCTTTTGGACGTGCAGACCGCATTTAGTTTTAATTAACAAGGCTGTAGTTAGAGAGGGCGTACAGTCACTCTAAAATGTTAAAAACAAACAAAAAAAAAAACTACAAAACTCAAAACGTCCATAGATTCAAGGTCATGGAAGAGTCAGGAAACGCCGAACGGTCTCGTTCGCTCGGGAAGCGCCGAATCTTTATGCTCGGGTGCTCGAGATTCTTCAGCTCTTCGTGACGGTTCCCCGACCTTGTGGAGTAAATATAACGGCGGTAAACTACGAGACAAAGTGGGTGATCACTATGTGTTAATATCTACGGAACCGATCAGTGTACAAAGTAAATAAAGCCCGATCGACGTTCCTGTATTTTTTAAGACATTATTTATTACAAATTATAGGAAGATTATTCGCGCATCATGGCACGACTTGACTCAGTGTGTTGAGCATGATGCGGTAATTCTCAGGTGCAGCGTTGTTCAGCTGTTTAGCGTGTAATTAAATCCAGGCAGCGCCCTTTGCCCCGGGCACTCAGTGCAGGGACAGAGTTTTATTTGAATTGTTCTCCTTAGTTGAAACAAAGTCCTATATTTTATAAAGCAATCCGCGATCTCGAACAAATACACTCTTTGTATAAGTGTCTCTTTCGTATTTCCTTCTAACGTATTTGTGTACAATAAATCGCTGACTACAAAAAATAACTCTGGCTATTTAATTCTTTTATAGTGAGATAACGACGCCAGCTAGCATCACCGCTAGAACAAGAGCTTATACAAACATTGAATAGCGCAAGATGGACATGTTTTGAATCTTCTCGTGGTTCTCACTAAGGACTCTTGAATTTTACGATCAAGAGCCAATTCAGTCCATTTCATCGTTCCGAAGAAAATTCAAATCTTAAGCGGGTTCTCGTAAGTTATTCCTTACAGCAGCTGGTTTGCGCATCTTGAAAAGTTTAGCATAGTTTTTCTAGTTGGTCGTTTGCAGTCCGTGTCAATTTCCCCATCCTTAAACAATCCTTGTTCCTTTATGGTTTATTATTGTCTCTGGTGTTTTTTTTTATCGACGTAAACTGTTATTTTCAGGGTTCTTCAATTAAAAGGTAATTTTGTACGTGGCCAAAATAACTCAAAATGCCGTGACATGACGTAGCCCCTTCAATGTTTGGATCTATAAAATTGCTACTGTGTTATATTATGCTAGTTGCATGTTTCCCCGCGCTTTCCGCGAGTCACGTGATTGGTCAATTTTATCTTCACCAGGCAGATGTGTTGGACCTCTTTTTAGTTCGTCGCAGAATCCTCCCTGACATAAATTAAGGAGTGCGTGACAGGTCAAAAGAATGTCCAGGTAGGATGCCCGACCACAACAGGTTGAGTCATGACTAACAGAAATCATTATTAGAATTTCGTTGTTGCGTCACATGACTGCTCAATCTTGTTACAATGAATCACCCCACGAGAAGCAAGCTTGACCGGTCTAAAGGTCTGCTTGAATCACAGGACGGCTGGATTATCTTGGACTCTTGGTTAATTTGATTCATGTCTGTACTTGGTCTCATCAATGCATATACAATTTGAGTTCATAGTTTACGGTCTTGCTTCATTCCCCTGTACGTGACGAGATCGCCGTCTTTTTACTTGACTGTGTGCTGTACAGATCTGACAAAACGGCCCCTGCAAAGAAGAAATAAATAACTGCTCAGATCCGTGTCCTCTCCTTTCCCACACGGCTTCTCCATTTCGTCTTAGCCGTCTACAGCCGGGTAGTTTCCCAGGCCCTTACTTAGGCCGTCACGTAGCGTCCCTCGTTGCGTGAGAACCTAACAAGGGCTGCGCGCGAGGCTGATAGAGCGCGGCGCCGGTGTGTTCAAAGGCTGAGCAGTAATGTTCCTGAAAATCAGGAGCTTCACTTTCCTAAGAAGGTACACTTTTAAGTGAATACATAAAAATAAAACAAAATGTGGCCGCGTAGCTAGCGTTCCCGCATTTTGGGGCGTACCTCTAATTCGTGCGGGAAAGCTAAATGTGATAATGATCTCATGACTCACCACATCACGCGCTGGCAGGCAGTCTTCGTGATAAACATGTTTACAGAAGAACACGACAACATGCGACGCCCGTCTTGTATCTACCCAAAAACAAAAAGATCATTTTAAAAAGCGATAAACAGCAAACCAGAAATGTGGATTGGTACCGCTACCTTAAATGTATAATGCAGTTTCGCAAGGAAGGAACACTCGGGTAAGGGGAAGTGACGGAAACTCTACACTTCTCCTTCAAGCCAGTTAAAACTCTGGGAATTCATTCTCAGATGATTTTACATTCAAAATCTAATTCTTAAACATGAATATGTGTCGTGAGTATACATCTTCACACTGCGCAAGTACTACAGAGGCTGGCTCTTCAGAACTCCAGTTTCTGCAACATTAAGCCGCTGGATGAGGAGATTCTGGCAGATTCTTAGTTGCCCGACGCAAGTCACCGGCTACTTCATGTCACAAAGTTTATTCATACGAAGTTTCTTTTCACCAACGCAATCGTGATATGATCTTTCTGAGGAAATAACTGAACCGGTGAAAAACTAAGCAGTGAGCCTATTATGTACCTTTATAACTTTGAAGGAAGAGCAATTTTTGGCAGGCGTTGCGTACATGTATCAGATTTCAGGGTAAAAGAGGCACTTTGATTGTTGAGCCTGAGAACGAAACACCAGGACCCTGGCTAGCTATAATCTAGCTTGTTTAGTAGGCGTAGGGACGGAGGGAAAACGAGTAATTTTTGCGCTTGAGAAGAGAGAACACGCGCCGCTTCCCTCCCATTGTTGTGCCAACCAGGCCGGCAGGATAGCTTGAATGTGGATCTCTAAATCGGGAGTCCAATATCACTACAAGCGTAGACACGAGCATATCACTAAAAGCCACGTGTCAGCGGTATCAAAGACCACGCGCGTGGAAAATAGAAGAGAGGAAAACAGTCGCTTCTTTGTACCAACCTTCGGCAATGACGGTTCCCTGGCACACGGGACACTTAGTTTCATCTACAATTAAAAAAATACCAATTAATCAGTTATGGCATAAAAGGCTGCGATGGACACTTGATCCAAAAACGTTGATTAACAAAAAACGCGATCATACCGTCAACAGACACTCCCTTCTGCTGTACTTTGCTCAGCCGTTGAAGCAACGACACACTATAGGAAAAAAAAACCGATCAGTTGTAATTAATCAATTGGCTAAGTTAAAAACGGTAACAAGATTATAAGCTGTTACTGAATGCATTACGAGTACTAGCATAAAACTACTTTTTACTTTCATCATACTGAAAATGTTTTTTTTTTCTGTGTCTGAGACCACTTTTGATCAGGGAACTACTGATTTCTATAGAAATTGTTCGCAACTGCCGTTTGCGCTTAGTCGAAAAGGGGAGAGCGGCTATTTTACCATATCACGTATGTTTTTTTTTTCTCACCTGTCTTTAACAAGAATCTTTTTACAGCCTTCACGAAGGGAAATCTGAAGACGAAAAATATTTTGCTCAGATATTTTCTATTGCGCCAACAATCCAACCAATACAACAGCACTGAAGAGGTAAGAGGTAAGATAAGGAGTGTTTAGACAAGTAACCTGTAAATTGAAATCTTGAAGGATCTTCACTAGCGAATCCCTTAGACCAGGAATCTTCATTCCTTCAGGTATCCTCTGTGAAAAGAAGGTAAAGGTAAGTGCCAAGTGGTCCATCAGGCCGGAGCTTATCCCGGCTTCTGTAGCATGAAGCGACTAGGAATATTTCTGCTCCATCACTGGATGAGATGCTAGTCCATCGAAGGGTTACTTTCAACATAAAATTCACCAGTAACCATTAATACACCTGGGTGCAGAGAGGCATTTTGAGAGTACAGTGTCGTGCCAAGGAACACAACACAATGTCCCCGGCAAGGGCTCTAACCCGGACCGCTCGATCCGGAGTTGAGCGCACTAACCATGAGGCCACCGTAAACGACATCAACACGGGCTGGTTTTCAAAACATTTAAAACTGGAGAGACTCGCGTAACAACTTTGCATTACTAAAATCCTTTACGAATTATCATCAACATTATCAAACAACGAACAACCACCACCAACGTCACCGTCACAACAATAACAACAGCAACAACAGCAACAACAGCAGCAGCAGCAACAGCAACAACACCAACCATTTATTACTAACAATGGAAATTGAACCACAGAAATACCGTACCTGAATGAGTTTGATAGGATCAACATGGGTTCCGATATTCTGCAAAAGACCTGTGATAAATTCTAAAGGGATAAAGAAAAATAGTGCCATTAAAAACGGACAGGTGCGACTATCGCAGTTTCATTTAGCAACAGACGTCGGAGTTACCTCTATACCGAGCAAACAACCAGACCTGCAATTCGTGAACAACTCTTTGGCGAGTTTCGTTTCAAATTTAGCTGATGTTTTCTTAGTGTACCTTTTGAACAACCGCTCAGCGAAAGGAAAATGCTAATAAAGAGGCTGCGAAGAAGAATGTGTATTAACAGAACCTAATAGTTTATCTTTTAGTTGAATTGATGCTGTAACGTTCTCTTCGTGGGCAGAATCTGAAGACACTAAATACCTGGCTTGTCAAGAGAATAATTGATAAGATCGTCCCACAAGTCTTCATCATCTTGTTCCTTGGCGAATTCAATGGCCTGTCAATCAACAAAGACATATCACTCATAAACTACCAATCATCTTTACAAGTACTTTCGACTCCCACGCTCTTGGAATTTTACTTTAAAAAATTATGACTCATTTTATTTCTGAAGACTTACTTACCTTCTCTACATCGTTTTCCTCCTGAATAATCAGCTGTAAAGCTTGCTTGTTGTTTCCCATACGACCTGGCAAACCACAAGAACCAAATTGTCACCAAACCAAGAGCAAAGAGGTTTTTTGTAGATTAGTGCGGTTTTCATTTGAGCGTCCAAAAGTAATTGGCTTTGTATTATTGCACGACACGATTGGCTTAAAAACCTCGCGCCACTTTTCATCCAATCAGAAGTAAAACCAAAACCAATCGTGACTCGCTCGCACACGTTTTCCCGCGCTTAGCGTCAGCTACATGTAATTACGGTGTTATAATAAGGGAACTTTTCTCTTATTATAACACCGTAAGACTGATTTTTCAAAATTCGCTCAAATCTCGTTTAAACTCTCCAGGATGAGAAAAAAAATGACACCATTGAATGTTCAAGAGTCTTTATTCGGTAAATTACCCATACATTGAACGAATTTAATGTCAACACCTCATCTCCATACAAACTCTTATATTTTAGTCACAGTCCTTCATACAAACTCTGATATTACGCTTGGGTGACCTGTGGTTCACTGTGTTGTTTGTGACATTTGTTATCGGCTCAAAATAGTAGTGCTACGCATGCGCCTTGTTTACTTTTAACCGAAACAAGGAACAAGTTAAGCAAATCTGCGACATACAAGAAGCAATAGTGTTGTTTTTAATGCCTTAAGGCGTTTTTCCGGGTTTTGCAGTAGCAACATGCTTTTGCTTCTAGTTATCAATGGCGGTATTTAAATGCCATGCATTTGAATAGTTTTGATTACTTTGGTTTTCGCTTTATGACAAGTACGACAAAGATGCTTTTTAAAGCTATATTCATACTGGAATTTGAGCTTAAAAAATACTCACTGAGCAAAAACACCATCTCTGGAACCAAACGTCTTTGTTCACACTCGTTCAAAGCCTAACAGAAAGACACGGTGTTAAAATTCAAACTTTCTGATACTGAGAGAAACACTTGAGAACGATCAAGCAAATCAGCATAAACTCAGTCCCAACACAGTCCAAGGTGACTCGCTCTGCCTCATTTATCTTCTCGTTACTTTCTTGTAGAAAAGTGTTTGTAATCACTTGATTAACATCACTCCCTGGAACGAGCGACATCAGTCCTTCTGAGAAGCAGGGTATTTCACACCTTATCACTATTTGAAATCGAGAATCATGCACCTTTTGAAGAGGATAATAGTTGCTGTTTCTCAGGAATGTCAGCAGTTTTGGACGGTCAAACTCTGCGTAAAGAGGAATCTGAAAGAACAATACCATGTTGCTATTACAGTGCTTTTCCAATTTCGAAATCAGTGAGGGTGGATATAGTTCGTTATAAAAGTCGAGCAAACAGAGCAGAGATAATGGAGATAATAAGGTGACAAAGTCATGATTAAACGTGAGGGCGTATACTGCAGGTTATCTGTTTTCTCGCGCTTTCTTGTTGTTATGTCGGTTTAATATGTGTTTTTCGATCTTTTTCCGCGCTTGCTTCCGCTTATCTGTTTTACCGAGCTTCCTTGCTGGTTATTTGCTTGCCCTCACTTTCTGCCTGTTTAGGGCTATGTGTTTTCCCGCTCTTTCTTGCTGGTTGTGTTTTTCCGCGATTGCTTCCGCATATCTGTTTTCTCGCACTTTCTTGTCGGTTATCTGTTTTCCCCACTTTCTGGCCGGTTATGTATCTTCCCGCACTGTCTTGCCGGTTATGTACCTTCCCGCAGTTTCTTCCCGGTTATTTGTTTACCCGCGCTATCTTGCCGGTTATTTGTTTACACTTTCTGCCGGTTTAGGGTTATGTGTTTTGAGCGCTTTCTTGCCGGTTCTGTCTTTTCCCGCGCTTCGCACCGGCTGTGATTGTCTTTTTTTGCACAGTTCGCGCCTTCGTGGTTGTAATTATAATCTCTCTTGTAAGAGTAAACTGGTTTTACCTGGAGTTCGTGGTAATCCATTCCTGCTTGTGGATCCTTGACAAACAGCGTGTCCAAATACTGACCAAAAAAAAACACAATTATAATTAATTCTTAAATTGTATAATGCTTCAGGAAGAGACAGAGACAAAACAAAAATTACGAGAGCAACAAACAATACACTGGTCTAGGGTAACAGAGGATAACGGTCGATAACTATACATTAAAAACTTGCCGCGGCTTCATTTTACTTTTCACTGAAGTCGAAACTGTTCAAACTCGTGTAAAGTAGGGTCGACTTTACTCTAATTACTGTAATGACTTTTAGACTAATTTACAGCAAACCATAAACCAGCAAATGACACTGACCACGTGAAGCAGTTCTGATCTTTTGTTGAGCTGTCGTACAACTTCTTCGACCTGTAAATGATGGCATCAGAGTTAGGCTGAAAACACAAATGACATAAGCCGTGTAGACACGACACCGGCCATTTGTCAAAGAGAAAGTGGTCGACCCTGTTGAAAAGATTGCAACAACAAGCCACAAACACTGAATTTATTCCCAAAGGAGAGCACAAGCGTTATAAGACTGTGCAAAATTGGAGAATAAGCGAACTGATTACGATACGACCAAGAGTGTAAAGAGTTACATTAAATAAAATAAATAAAAACCTTTATTTCAGTTTAAAGTGTATTTAGCACTGTTGTGCTAACTGGGGACACTAAATAATTAAACAAATATTACAAATGGAACATAAACTATTAAGCTCCCAACTGGTTGGAGGCTGACCAGTTGGCTATTTACACAACGCGGTGGACGAGTTGAACTCGGGACTACCGAGAACAAATCCAGATAGCGGTAGGGTGGCGGATTTGAATCAGGGATCTTTCGGACACTTACAGGAACTTTGTCGATATTGTCAATCAACATCTTCACGGCTTTCTGTCAAAAAGCAAAAACAAATACAAGTACATTTAAAGGGCTTGGGAGCGCTATTTTTGTAATTCTGCTCTAGAATACGAAGTCGCTATTATAATTAATGAAAATCTCAAAGTTTTGACTTCAAGCAACAGATAGTCTAAGAAAAACCACAACAAAGACCCCCTGGAAGTGGAAGAGAGAGGAGAGAAGGTTAAGTCTGCATACGAGCTAAGTGGCCCACCAGGCCGGAGCTTATCCCGGTTTCTGTAGCATGAAGCGACTAGGAGTATTTCTACTCCCCCCTGGATGGGATGCTAGTCCATCGCAGGGTTACCCCCAGCATTAATACACCTGTGTGGAGAGAGACACTGTGAAAGTAAAGTGTGTTGCCCAAGAACACAACACAATGCCCCCGACCAGGACTCGAACCCAGACCGCTCGATCCGGAGACGAGAGAACTAACCACGAGGCCACCGCGCCTCCACGAGAGGAGAGAAGAACTGGGATTATGGTACAATTAGTGCAATGTTTTGTCCAACTACGCGACACAATGGCGACGGAATCCTTTAGAATAGAATCGAACAGACTACGAGTCAATAGCTTTCTTATTCCGCTATCAAAGCTCGAACATCTACTTGCCATAACTATTCACCTCTTTGTCAAACTCCATCAACATGATAATCTTGTCCTGGATCGAATTAAACAAGTTGTGTTGATGGATCAAGTTGAACACATCACTGTGGCCAAGTCTGCGAAAAAACAAGAAAACACGAACTCAAAATAACTCACTCAAACCTAATTCCTGAACAGTTGTCAAATTTTGGCACAACAAAGTTTAAAGGAGCTACGCCACGGTTTCTGCATCTTGAAAAGTTTGGCGTAAATTTTTCAAGTTCCGTTCGTCGTTTGCAATCCGTGTCAATCTTCTCCATCCTTAACCATCCTTGTTTCTTTATGGTTTATTTTTATCTCTTTAGTGTTTTTCTACCTTAAGTAACTATTATTTTCAGGTTTCCTTCAATTTCAAAGTAATTTTGTAAGTAGCCAAATTAGATAACTCCAAAATACCGTGACTGAGTCCCTTTAATAACACAACTCACTTCAGATATATGGCCAGTCCTTTGTCATATCTTTTCAATCGTGTGTAGCTGCAAAGAAATCAAATCACGGTCAGGGACTTGGGGTCCATAAAATTTAAAACAAAACAAGACTCAAATGCCTTACAGTTCTCCTAGCGTTTCCAGAAGAACTCGATTTTGAGGATCTTTTTCCAACTGGTCCTACAGAGCAAAACACAGTGTCAGTCAGAGATCGCTTGTTGGTCGATAACTTCTCCGCAAGTCGTTCAGTAATGCCGTATCAAAGTGTCCGGCATATTTCCTCACCTGCACAGCACTGATAATGGGCTGCACGCCGTATAACTCTGCTGGCCAATCCTTGATCAGGGCCTGAAATTTCTGAAATTGAAAAGTAACCAGAGATTCAGACAAGAATGGTACGGTGACTTCTCAGATATGATATGTGTTTTCCCGCGCCTTCTTGCCGGTTCTATGTTTTCCCGCGCATTCTTAGCGGTTTTGCGTTTTCCCGCGCTTCCTTGGCTGGTTGACTGGTTCTTGCCTAGTTCCTAGGCCTCAATATTTCGCCGCGGTCAATCGTTTCGGGTCACGTGGTCCGCGCCGTTCGTTTCGGATACTTCACCGAAATAATGGCCGTGAAGGCCTGGGAGAAAGCCTATAGGAAGTCGGTTCGATATTTTCCCGCGCTTTGTTAGCGGTTCTGTGTTTTCTCGCGCATTCTTGCCGGTTCTGTGTTCACACTGACGTTCACAAAAATAACTAAGGATGATTTGCTCTTAGTAACTGTTGTTCTGGGATTACTTGTTAAAGTTTTGTTGTATCACATCCCCAAATTAGGCGCACAAAGTTGTCACTAATGTTTGCCTTCACCGATTCACCCAATCCACATAAAATAAAGTCTCTCTCTGTCCTCACTCTTCTGTGCAAACGTAGAGTTACTTTTTTACCGAAAAAACCTTCTAGTCACCTTGACATCTTTCTTGAGGAAGTCGTACAAGACCATTTCATAAAGTACGGGGCTCAGTTTGACTGTACTTGTTGGAATGTAGGGTGCAATGGCCTGATGGAGAAAGAAAACAGAATCAAAAGGATACTGTTATGGTCAGTTGAAAGATGAAAGCAGATAAGTAAATAACACAGCTGGAAAACTGCAAAACAGTTTCTTTCCCGCTCGCTTTTTCTTGTGACGCGCGAAACTTCGCCAACCTCGTGTGAAAGCCTTGTAAACAGGCGGGGCTTTTCTCCTCAATCTTCAGTATTCTCTGAAGAAAATCATAACCTACCTCCAACTGGTGTTTCCGTGCAAACTTATACACTTCATCTTCCCAAAGTTTCCTGTCATCCTTTAAGACTTTCAGACACAGTCTGTAAAACATTCAACAGAAGGGGTTGAAGTGCATTTAACTTTTGGTGTTTTATTAACAATTTAATACTTTAAGGTAGTCGTTAGTTTTAGAACATTAACGTTATTTTGGCACTTAATATAACTTGAATACTATGGAGATAAATGACATAGACACAAGGTAGTTACAATTACGAGGTTCTAGCAAAATTTACTGCTGTTCAAGACGTTGAAAATGGTTATGTACAAACCTGGCAGCAGTTTCGTATTTTCCTTCCTCCATCAGAGATTTCAGATAAGCTCTTCCAATATCCTTATAATTTCAAAGCCAGATACAATATGTTAGTACCGTTTTTTGTAGAAATCTTTGAAGAAACTGTTATAAGACTTACATTGGCAAAACCCTGTTTCTTGTAAAATAGAGGCTAGATGAAGTTACTGTGTTATGTCTCAGGGAAAAACCACCCAAAAGTCACTCAAGAAATAATTAGATGATCTCTGTTTGATTTGTGAGTCATAGTTGAAAATAAAATGACGTAACTTTTGACATGGAAAATAAGAGTGCCAAAGTTTCATAGGCTCAAACCAAAGTGGCCCACATTGCCAGACCTTATTTCACCTTCTGGAACATGAATATGTACTAACTACAGCATTTTGACTGCTTGCCTTAATTATTTTCTATTCGGGGGAGGGGGCAAGAGAACTGTCATTTGACGAAGTCAGGAATGCTGTCATGACGGTTTTAAAGTGGTTTCTTTTAGGGGTCAAATAAAGCTTGAGCCACGACCACATTGGTCTCCTTTATGGATTTAATTCAATTTTCTGACGAGCATCCCGACTGTTTCACATGGGAGGCCCCCCCTCCTAGGTTTGACATTGCCCAGTTATGCACCTAGGTTGACAGAGGCACTGTGAATACAAGGAACATGACACAAAATATCCTGGTCAGCAATGCAACCTGGACAACTCAATTTTGAGCCTGAATATACTACATGTACCTACTGGACCAGAGGCCCACCCCCCATGAACAAGGACAAAATCTTGTATTTACCTGCTGATTGTGCTTCTTGACTTCTTTACTGTTTGTTTCTGTAGCAGCCAATGCTTCCTGTGGTAAAAACAAAATTATCCTTGTTGCCAGTTAGCTGGTGAATTTAGTCTAACTTCACCACTCTTTAACAAGTATTGAAAAATGATGACACTGAGTAAATGATAATGAATTGATGCCTGATATATAAATTATATAGATAAAGGTTTCATGACATTTTAAGTTACTCAATGCAATTTCCTTACTGCAGACCATGCCAAGGGGGCTAAATCCATTTTTGTACATACCTCATATTTTCCATGATCTGTAAGCCATTTGATGTGATCATCAATGTTTCTAGGCTAAAACAGAACACAGATTTCTAACTTCTGTTCCCAAATGATGGGAAGAGTACTTCCAGATTTATACATTTAAAGCTTTAACCAGATTTTTCTTGAATATAAAGTCAGACCAGAATGAGTCAAGTTCCACTTAGGTAATGTCACTGCTTGATTATGGAAAGTTTAAAACGTAGTGTTCATGGGAACCAGAAGATGAATGTCTGGTTCTTATAGGAGGTAACTGGTTTTTAGCTTCCATTCTGATATCCCAACAGGTATTGTACAAAGCTTAATTCAGAAAAAGTAAGGCATGAGACTAAGCTACATTGTATATGTTTGTGTAACAGTAAAGCTCCAACAAAGCTGCTTTTCTTTGAATCATCACTGCAGGTTCGTGGAATAGCGTGCATCTGTGTGAGGTTCAGTCTCTATCTAACTGGATCATGAGGACATACCTTGGCCAGCACAAGGTCTTTAGGGCTAACAATGTAAAACAAATTCTCTTCTGATACATTTTCTGTAAAGACAAACGGAAACAAGACAACAACTGCATTAATTTGTGATCATCTCCCATTCAGTTAAAACACAACTTGTTGGAAACATGTTTCCAACTTGGGCTTTAGTGCCATTCAGGGTCAGAATATGTAATATTGAATGTCAGCTTCGGCCTCATGCGCCTACTGGCACCTCATGAACTGATGATGATGATGAATGTCGAGTTCAGTTGGCCCACTGCAGGTTAAGTAGAACTATTGAACCCATTTAAAACCAGTTTGGTGCCAGTTGGAGAAGTTGAACAGTTTAGTGGCTAGTGGTTAGCAGTAAGTGTTCCTGAGGCTGTTATGCAATGTTTTAAGGTTTAATTCATAACCATATCATAAACATTTTTAACACCCCCAAACAAGGTTAGTTTTGGTTCATTTTAATGGTTAGCAGATTGCAGTTAGCAGTTATTGGTTACAGTGTTTCAGCATTCAAGGTTTCTAATTTAAATTAACAACCATCTCAACAAGATTGCAAAATATGTTTGTTTAAATTGTATTTTATGATCTCGCTGATTATTGCTACCTTTGTGGTTTATACTAAAAGAACACTTTTTGACCGTCACATAATTATTTAAATCAACTCCAGTTTGATTCATTTTTTCAGCAACAGAGAAATTGCTAATACACTTGAAAAAAAAAAAAAGATTTCTATCAAATGGTCAGAACAATGAAATCAAGTCATAAACTCCTATGCTGATTGACACAATTAACTGATGGCTGGAGAGAGGCAGAGCAAAAGTAAACAGTCTCATCATATCTGCAGCAATGATGCATTTAAAAACATTGATGCAATTTTATAAAATGAAAGGTTATACAGTGAAACTTGTATTAAGCGGACCCCATATTAAGTGGACACCCTCTATTAAGTGGACACCAGCTGAAGTCCCAACCTTCCCACATTTACTGTAAAATAAACCTGTATTCAGCAGACACCTCTGTTAAACAGATGTGGACACCAATATTAAGCCATTTTGTTGCACAAAAAATGTAATACACGGACACTTTAAGGGCTTTTTACTTCTAAAGGTTCAGCTGAGACTCCTTTAACATTGTTCAGCGATGCCGTTCTAAAGCTCAGTAATTATTCCAGATTGATGCTGTCCCAGCATTGATTGACTGGACATTGTACTATGTTAGTCTTTGATCGTACACTGTGTTACAAAGAGTTAATAATGAACTTTTATTGCACAACATATTAGAACCTGTTTTGAGCAGACACGCTGTATTAAGCGGACACTAGTCAGGGTCCCAAGGCTGTCCACTCAATACAGGTCTCACTGTATCCTGTTGAAACTTTGTACCTACCACGATGAAAGGAAGATGAAGGATTGTCCAGATCATCATGGAAAGAGGCTGATACATGCGCAATGTAAGTGTCAAAGGTTAAATGCAGTCATCATTAATACAAGGCAGGTATTAGTAGTTATTGTTCAGTATGTTATTTAGAATTCTTGCCAAGTAAATATTCCCATGGGGAGGACTCCTGTATGAAAAGGTTGGGGATGGTCTTCAGAAAATTTGAATTAAACGCATACAGGAGATCAATCTGGGCATGGTTTGAGCTTTATTTGACTCCTAAAAGATACAACTTAAAAATCAGTTGCTGTTCAGCAAGGGAGCCCACAAGAGTAGTCAGGATTTGAGAGACCAGTGGAAATCGAGCCAAAAAACGAGCATACTATAAGGGCAGTTTTTAATTATTATCTCTTCGAGTGCACCCTAAGAGAGACTTTGGCAGCTAAAAATAGCAGCATTTTGTCATGAACACCCTAATTGAGACCACATATTTTATACCCCCAAGTGGACCATCATCGACCTTTTCATATGGAGTCCTCCCCTGCTAGAAAATATTCACTCTTTACAGGAACAAAGCAATATATGTATAACACTTTGAGATATTATTGCGAGGGCTGCATTATGTGGTAAATCATAAACAGCTACATGTAATGAAACTTGCGTTGCATATCTACTTTGGGAAGATCCAGATCTGAATCAATCACTGATCCAATATCATGGTGCATCAAAGAAGCTGATGAATCCCCGAGTGGGTTCATTGGTTCTTTTGAAGAACAATGATCCTAACGATCTACGATTATTAATCTTGATCCAGATCACCCCAAAGGAATGCACTTTCATTAACAATTAATAATTATTGTCGTTCAAGCAAAATGAAGAGAAAGCATGACACATTTAGTGAATGATAAAACATTATCTGATGCAGTTGAATGATCTCTTTTTACTTTCAAGACATAACTTAATTTATGGCCATGTTTTTTTTCTTTTTTGCATATTTGTTTAAAAAGATTAAGACAAGGGTGTCAGGTCCATTCTTTAAATTCAGCTGAAAGGATAGGAACAAAAACTGGGCTAAACTGACAAATAGTACAGTGTATTACCTAATTTAACGAACCTCCAGACAGCACTCACCGTAAGACTTACAATGTAATTAAAGCAATCTATTCACATTTATTAATTAACCAGCATTTAGATCTTTACTTTAAGTTAATAATTTTAAGTTCCTATGTACTTTTAATTTTAATTTTTTTTACATACCAATTTTATTTTGTGCCCTTAAATTAAAGGATCTATGACTTACAAAGGGTATTTAAAGATCACTCCCACACAGGCACTTGTCTGTACATTCATCTATCTCTTTATCAATTAATCAACATAGTCCTACCTAAATGATAATCATCACAGCGGTACTGCTCAAATCCTCTGACAGACAGAGCATCTGCTGATATCTCTTCAGGTTCACTAAGGCCACGTGGTGTTACAATCCTCAATTGTGGTCTGTGTGCAACTAATGGTTCACCTTTCTGTCAGTTTGGAAATATAGAGAAAATAACAAATCTTACAGTCATGTATATTTTGACTCAGAATAACATACAACATGTAGCCTTCAATGCTGCTTTTTCTTCTTCTTCTTTTTTACCTTTCTTGTTCCTGCCTCGATGTTGGTCATGTAAGACAGGATAACCTGTTAAAAAAAATTATATATTTTCTTAGCTCTAAAAATTTATCCTCAAATGCACTCAAAATCAAGCCATTTCCAAAACTAATTCTCACTAACTCCAAGAGATTCAAAAAAGAAATTTAAAAGTACTTTTTAATCTTAGATTAGTGCTTTATACGATGAAGGTTTTTAAACAACTGGCAGGAACATTATTGTTAAACAAACACACAAAACAGAAATTCCAGAGCTTACCAAGTCATTTTTCAGGTATGCAATTCCGGAAATGTAATAATCAGTCTTGAATATGGCAACTACAAAAATTTCAAATTAAAGTGATTAGTTTATTTGATTTACTGTTGGTAGAATCCAGGAAGAAAGTACTGAAGGTCAATGTACATAGTCAAAAAACAACTAAAAAAGCAACTGATGTTTACCTATTTCCACAACCAGTGGGGGAAGGTCCGACCTTTGAACTAACCTTTCTTTTACAACACAAATCTGAGGAAAGATAATTCAATGTGAAGGGAATGAACAAACAGACAAACACTTAGACACAATCAAAAGAAGAGATAAAAATTATAACCAAATAAATGACCAAATGAATGAATAAACAAATAAATGTTTCAAACCACTACACAAGTGACTACAATTTTCTACCTGAACCATGTCTGCCCAGCCAATCAGAAGGGTGATGCCGTCTCTCCAACACAAACAGCATCGATAAAGCTCAGGTCTATAGCTAGGGGGAAAAAACACAAATTTATTGAAAGAGTTGAAAACCCTGCTGAAAACCTTTTATGAACAGGGACTGAAGTGCAATGGATAAGAAATCATTTTAAAATACATGTAAACTATGTAATACCTGACGATGGAGACTGATATTTTGACCAAGGTCCAGTTCAAACTTGGGTGTGGTTGTGTTCAGGCTTTTACCTGTAGCCATATATGTCGGTGTCATTGTGCTTTGATGACACCCATTTTTGAGAGATCTTTCCTTTTTGCATTCAGACTGACGAATCATTTTGCTGATTTTTGAGCCATTTTTTTAACACAACTAATTTGAATTTAAATCTGTAGTAAGAACACAGGGTTTAGAAGAGTTCTTTGGGAGCAGATCCGAGACCCCCTATGAGGCCAAGGCCTTGGACCAATACTAGAGAGCTTAAAGGGGCTCAGTCACGGTATTTTGAGTTATTTTGGCCACGTACAAAATTACCTTTAAATGGTAGGAAACCTNACATAATTAATCATTGTAGCACTGCAATAAGAGAATCTTGGGGTTTACCACAGATCTTTGAATTTTTTGGTTCCACTTTGTACAAATCTCCACATGTCCATTTCCTTGTCTGTGTACATGAAGACCAGATGATAACTTACATACTTTTATGTACCAAATACTCACCTCGCAAGTTATATAAAATACAAGATTTCAGAGTACTTACACGCCCATCATCAGAGCAACTGGCTACATAGTCTCCACTTTGATCAATACTGATTTGATTTATAGCTGTGGTATGCTGAAAAAACAAAAATAGTTCAAATATCAAGCAACTTCCGAAGAGGAGCTACATCTGCTAAAAAGAACTGAGTTACATTTCTTGACTAATGAGAGGCCACCTTTGATAAAAGACAAACTGTTGACAATATGGGGAAAACTGACAAATCATCACAGATTTGTGTACTTTTGTGCAAAAATTATCAAATCCTTAATTGTCGAATAATAATGTGCACGCTCTCTGTCCTGTTTGGCAAAGTTACAGACCAAAACATCAGTAAGGTAAGTGAAAGTTAGAGCTACAGTGTACTGTAAATGTATCTACCTCTGTAAAACTGTTTCACGTCTCCATAAATTGGAGTAGAGAGCTGCATGACAAGAACTACTAGGAAAACATCATTGGTTCTTCTGTTCACATCCTGATAATTGACTGTACTTACAGATGGGTATTTTTTGCTACTGATGGGATTTCCTTGGTGGTCCAGAATGTGAACAACTCCGTAGTGAGTACCAAGGGCAAGAAACTAGAACAAAGGATTAAATAATTACTACAAAAAAGATAGCCTTTATTGCTTTCACTCAGAATTGCTTCAAATTGAAATCTGAAATGGAGAACTTTCACAAGTTCCTAGTTACAAGATCACAAATACTTCACAACAGGGTGACAGGGGGGAAAGGGGAGGCAGTGGAGGGGGGGTGGAGGGTGGGGGCTCTGGGGCAGAAAGAGGGCTATATTTGTTCTCAGGTAGTAACCACAGGAAGAAGGAGAGAAGCTGTAAGTTGGAAAGTTTACTAACATTTTTATTCTTACAGGGGGGAGGGGGTTTACAAGTTAATTTTATGGCAATTACATATTCTAGTTTAATAAAACTCCCTTTTTAATATACCATCAACAAATCAAAACACTCGCCATTGTCCTAGCTATTTTATTGAATATATTTATAACGAACCACGGAATACTTGCTACTCAGCTGATACACCAAGATTTAAGATGAAAAATCCAAGTTAACCCTTCCCCATAAACTAATGATGTCAATTAAGCCTGGATACCTTCGTATGCACTGCCATACAGCTCGCACACTCTTCTCCATTAAGAATAGTATTCATAGCATTTCCAATCCTTTCGTATTTTAACTTGGGTTCCACCTCGTCCTCGTCCTCTTCAGAGCCATCGTTTTCATCATCATCGTCTTCATCTTCAGAGTCTTCATCTTCTTCCTGCGAATTATCCAACAATCGCATGCATGTACGCTCTCAAAGACAAACTTGTTCTTCGCTCAGATTGAAATTTATGTTATCAAGAAGACTAAAGGCTGTAATAAAATAAAATTACCGGTGCATTTGCGTCGGATTTCATTTTTCTTTCAAGGTCCGTTCTGTCTTGTTTGTCGGCCATTTTGCAAAGCATTACACTGACCACTAAGGCTTGTGGGATGGATCGCGATGGTTACTGTCAGGGGCCTGGTAAGGCAACTTCCTCAGCGTACCCCTGTGAAGTATTTCTTTTCTCGACAAATACTCTTTTTCGCCATTTTTTTCACAGATAAACGATTTCTTTTTCCGTAAAATATTTTTCTTAGTAGGATTATACGATAGGATACTTTCACAAAGGCAAAAAAAAAGATTAAAAAAGCGAGATTATGACAATAAATACGTGCAGTGGGGGAAAGGGGTAAGAAACACGTGCTTATCTCAAAATGGCGGCTACACAAGACCGAAACAGCGCTCTTCCAAATTTGAAGAATTTGACCGCATGCAAGTTCGGCAAACTGCGAAATAAACAGAGCAAGGTATAATTTGTTTTAATAAGTCACTTCTATCTTAATCTATGTAGATAAGATCGCCATTTTGCGTGTTTTTTCATCATCGTCTAGGTGCTGCAAGATCTTGTTAGTCCACACATCCAGTCTTTCAACTTTATGCTAGAAGAGGGCCTTTCCTTGGCGGTTCAGGTGAGAAATGCAGTTTCAATGATTATTACTCCAGAAATTGTTATGCTAACTCAAGATATTAAAAATTTCAGCATTTTGCCTTGACTGTCATTAAAAATCTATATAAAATATCTGTTGTCACTTTTAGGCTATTCACCCTCGAGAATTTTTGCTTAAAGACGGACAAAAGGCCACACTATACTTCACAGTAAGTTATTTGAAACTGTCCATAGCACTTTGTAGTTGTTTCATTCTAGGATAGATGAACTGAGTGATTGACCCCAGGGGGTGGGGGTGGAGTGGGTTGTGGTGCCATGTTTCTGGATGGGGTTTAACTGATAGCTGAGAATTGGACAGGATTACGACTGTCAGCTGAGAAATGAGGCAGAGGCGGTGGTGTAAAAAAATAAAGACTGCATATGAACCAAATAGCCCATCAGGCTGGCACCTATTTCTGGTTTCTGTAGCACGAAGTGACTAGGAATACTTCTACTCCACCTTGATTGGATGCTAGTCCATGCAGGGCCACCCCCAGCATTAAGTTTGGCGGTACCCATTTATACACCTGGGTGGCTAGAGAGAGGTACTATGGGAGTCAAGTGTCTTGGCCAAGAACACAACACAATATCCCTGACCTGGACTGCTCGATCTGAAGATGAATGCACTAACTATGAGGCCCCTGCGTGGCAGTGCGGCTAAGTAATAAGAGCAATGGGCTTCAAATCTGAAGCTTTATTCAGGCCACTTGCTAGTGCTGTATACTCTCAGTAGTCTGGAGTTCAGCTCCTCGGCACATTTGTATAA